TTTCAGAAGAGATGGACCAAGAGACAGCTAATAAGCATCTGGCTTTGTAGGCCAGCTGACTAATATCTAGTTTTTAAAATGGTTTTTTTTATTAATTTTTTTATATCCAATAATTATATTAAATATCAATTAATTTGAAATCAAATTATGTTAAATTTTATTAAGAGAAACTCTCTTAATATTTATTTCAGTATTTCTCTTTTTATAAAATGTATATTTGAAACCTTATTTAAGGAGAGTCAAATTTTTTTTACTAAAATTAACAAATCATTGATTTTAAAAAATGTGCTTTTATTAGTATGAATACTAATTTAAGAATCATAATAAAAAGAATAAATTTTAAAATAAAAATTTAAAATTAATAATGTAACATATATTATGTTGTATAATAAATTTAAAAAATAAAAAACAATTAATTAATAAATAATCTAAAATTTATTTTTTAATATTTTAAATAATATAATTTATATCATATTTTTAATTTCAAATTTTAATCTTAATTTTTTTTTTTCATTTATCTCTGTTCCTCATTTAAATCTCCTTAGTTTTTAAAATTTGTACTTGTTTGGAAAAAAAAAAAAGACAGCTAATAAATGTAGTGGATCAAACTTACTTCACTTTTGACCAGTGTGCTTCATTATGAGAATTTCAAACCCTTTGTCGCCATAAAAATGAAGCCATGATTTTTCTATCCAATTATAATATAATTAATAGTTTGTATATTTTTTACCCAGAAAAAGAGTTTCACGTACTGATATAAAAATTTTAATTTATAATGTTAAGTAATTAATTTTTAATATAAAAAATTTTCAAGTATGTAAAAAGTGAAAATTTTGCTATATTGAACTATATTACATGAACCAAAACCCACCAATGCGATGCATTTCTTATATTAGTTTGTTAATCGAAACTTTCAAGTTTATGTACAATTATACGAACCAACTAGTAAAAAGTAAAAGCAATGACCTCATAAAGTTGAAAGGCATACACTCATTTAAAGAAGATATACTACTATAATATAACCTATAAGCATTAAACTAATCTAATATAAATCGATCAAGTCCTGTGACTCTAATTTTTATTTAGTCAGGATATTTTATGGTAAATTAATTTATGCACATAACGTTTTTTTTTGGGTAAACTAATTTTTTATTGGACAGTCTCTTAACATCAAATCCTCTTCAAGTCATAATCCGCCGCATTCAACGCAAGTTAGATTCTTTTTTTTTTTTTTAACATATTTGCAAGGGACGGGTTTTAAACCCAGCCCGGAGAGGAAGGAATGCACCGGGTGACTATTGCCACTAAGCCGCAAGGGCCAAGTGCAATGCAAGTTAGATTCTATATAATGCTAATCTTGAAATTTTCATTTTTCGATGTTCTAACTTTCTTGGGAATTAAGTATCATAAAGAATACTTGAAGTACTTCATATCTTTATTTTAAAAATTATATATGGATCAATTTAACTCTTTAGGGTACCATCTAATAAGTTTTTTAAGATATACTGGCTTTAAGCTAAGGTATCTAATTAGCAATAGTATTTAGTAAAAGTAGCTGTAGAGGTCCTCAAGTACCATGTTTGAAAAGTGGGTTTAATCTGTTTTTTTTTTCGTCATATCTTATAACACACGTCTTGCTTATTTGACCATTAAAAATAATAATAAGTACTTTGTTCGTTGCACTTTTTCATATGGATTAGTTATTTTGATATATAATTAATTAAATTAAGAGATATATCAAGATCAAAGATATATATATACATGTATGTGTCAAGTTCAAACTTCAAAACTCTATCAATGCATATAATTAATCAAAATCAACTTTTCTTAGCTTGGAAATTTAACCTACCTTCCTGACTAGTACCATTAACAAAAACAAATAGCTCGAATTACCCATTCTTTAGACAAAAATCAACTAATCAAGCAGTAAAAAGTTAGAAGTGAACAATTAATGCAGCAAACCATGGATATATATATATAGATCAAAGTTCAAATCAAAACACCATATTTCTATAGCAAACAAGACAGTAGTTATATATAAACAACAACCAGTCTTTTGATATAAATCAAACCACCATATTTCAATAACAAACGAGACAGTAATTATATATAAACACCAACCAGTCTTCCTGTCTTGCTCCTATTGCAAAACAAACCCATAGGATATTATTTCTATTTCATCCTTTCCCAGCGCTTTATTTCTTCAACTTGAATTCTTCTATTGCATCAGTGACCTTCAAAACACACCAAAAAAAAAAAGAAAAAAAGAAAACATTTTGAATAGAAGACCGAATTAAGTTCGAAAAGAAATAGTAGAAAACTTCAGGGGAAAACAAGTTACCAGAGAGAGGGTCGCGGAGCTGATCCGCCATGTCTTTGGCAACCAACAAAGCCTCCACAGTATCCAAGCAAGTTTGAGTCCACGCGCTCTCTTCCATCGCGTGCCTGCTCTCTGCCCTCAGCTGTGTGAACCTCGCTTCAAGCTGTGTCCACGAACTCTCTTCCAGCGCGTGCCCGCTCTCTGCCCTCAGCTGTGTGAACC